ATATTGTTGCTATCCTACCAAGTGATACTATGGCATCTTTGTTGACTGCTGCTTGTTCACTGTTGATGGTCAATTCCAAAAAAAAAAAAAAAAAAAACAGAACCCATTTAGCATTTCAGTGTCTTTATTATCATTTCAAAGGCTTTTTACTGTACCAATGATCATGGTTTAATCATTATATTTGCTCTTAATTCAATTTTCCTGTTTTTTGACTTTAATTACTACAATTTTCAAATCATTTATAGCTTTCAAAGTAGAGTCATCAGTATATCAGCAGTTATTAATATTTTGTCCAATTTTAAGCCATGTTCATCTTCTACCAATACAGCATGCCTCAAATATTTTCAGGCTTTACATTGAATAATAAGGAGAATATACAACCTTATCTCACTCCTTTATCCATTTAGAACCAGTCTGTGGTTGTGTTGTTCAGAATTGGATTTCTGTCATGCATATAGAGTTTGCATGTGAGAGATTCTGGGACTTCCATTTTCCTGTGGACGTTCCCTGGCTTGACATGGTCAGCATAATTCAAGGCCATTCTATATCCAATAAAGTGCATATTGACCTTTTTTTGGCATTCTTTAATTTTTTTTCAATTATCCAGCATACAGATGCAATAATGTCACTTATTCCTTGGCTTTTTTTAAAACCAGTTTGAACTTGTAGTATTGTGCCTAAGGCTGTAATCTGTTTTGGATGGCCCTAAGTATTATTTTACTTGGATGTGAAATTAAAGGATGTTGTGTAATAGTTTGCACAATCTGTGAAATCTCTATTCTGTCTTGGTAATGACTGGAATGCCGATTTCACTTCCAGTACTAGCAGTTCTCACAAACATGAATACATAACTTATTACGCAGTACTTCAGTATACTCCCATCTTTGTTTAATCTGCTTTGAATAAGTTGCTGTTTCTTTACATCCTTCAGCATACTAGGTTTGAGGTTGGAATATCCTTTTGAGTTTGGAAATCTTTTTAAAAATGTTGTTTTCCTGTGTCTTGTTTCTATTTTGGCAATGCTGTGGTAATGCTTCTCCTTGTCTCTTCTAAGAGCTCTGTGGAATTCTTTGCTTGGTTCCTTTATCTTTCTTAGCTTTGGGTTATCTTACAGGCAATTTTTACCATCTCTCTTCTCATCCAGTTGGTTTCTTCTGTTTTTAGTCTTTGGCAATATATTTTCACATTCATCTTAAACAGTTCCTTTGGTTTAATTCTACAGTTCCTGGGGCTCCCTGTAAATGAGGCTCAGGATTTTGTAGTTTCCCTTTACATGTTAAGTATATTGTCAAGATTATATAGTGGAAACTGGTTTTATTTTTCCACTTTAACCTGTCTTGGAGGTTGCACACTAGCAGTTTGAGATCTGTTCCACAATCAGCCCCTCACCATGTCTTTACTGTTTTAAGTGAGTTCTTCAATTTCCTTACATCAATATGGTCAATTTGGTTTCTCTGTTGCTCCACCTGATGATAAGGATAGTGTTAGCAATGAAGAAATTGGATTGACAGAAACTGACCATTCATTTTCCTGTTTCATTTTTGTTTCCTACTTGTGTAGTTCAGTTATGTTTTCCTCCTTAATATTTGTAACATTGTTTTTCCAGTTCCCAATCAAAAACAGCACATCTTGCTTGCAGCTTCTATTGATTTCTGATTGAACTTGACCATAAAATTCATTCCTCTTTTTCCTCAATACCAGAATCACAGATCTGGATAACTATCATAGACCATTAAAGGGTTTGTCTGCAAAATCTAACTGATGTTATTTGATCATTAACTGCCTGGTACCAAAATACTGTTTTTGCTATAACCTTCCTGACTATATGAAAACAACAGAGTTCTTTTGATTTTTCATGTTCTGAGAAGTAAACAGTATGGTTTTCTGACTGAAAGTGACCAGTTTCACTCTGTTTCAATTCATTGATACCTAAGATGTCAGTCGGTAGTGAGTTCGTTTCATTTTTCATTGTGTTGAGCTTTTCCATATTAGTACTTCTTACCACCCTTTGTGTTCCACTGCATTTCTGCCTTTATAGTTTTGGATTTTCTCTGCATGAAAACATCAGTCAATAGACATTTCATAGGATGTAATCAGCATATGTCATAAATATTGTTTCTTCTCTGGAAGACCCATAGCATGTTGAGTGCCATCTGACCTGATGGGCCTATCATCCAGCATTCACTTCATCTGTTCTGTTAGATAAAGCATTGAAGATGTTATCTTGTTTGGGTAATGAAACTTCTGCAAGAAAACAACCAAGCTAAGAGAGCACCAAGGACCCTTCATATTTTCTCTGTCTTTGTGGTTTACTTGATAAAGTACAGGAGTGATAGGATGACCTTTACACCTTGGGTGACCCTCCTGGAAGAATACACTGTTGGTATAACTGCCTGACGACCTTTTTCATCTGTCCCCAAAAAAACCCTTTCCATATTGAGGCAGCAGAAGCTGGGGATTGTTGGAGTTAAGGAATCCTTAACTGAAAGCACATGTCCTCACTAATTTAGTGTAGTAAACTGCATTGATATTTTTAGCTGAGCTGCATCTAACATTTATCTGACAGGCAAGACCAGGCAGAACTTTTTTGTAACCTCTAGATGGCAGAGGAGAGCATCTTCCAATATTTTTTTAGTCCTGTACTCTGGTCTAAAGGTAACTATAGGAGTTCCTTGCTAAATGTTAGCCTTTCTTTTCTCTCTTCTGCTCAGGGTAAGTCTGTTATTGTTTACCTACAGGTGCTGGAGGTATCCTTAACTGTTGCCTTAATTGTATACAATGTTGCATTGAAACATCAGGAATATCACTAGTTTAGCAGCATTACTGATCCATTGAGCCAGTTAGATCTAGTAGTTAATGCACCAGGCTCCCAACCAGGAGATTATGAATTCTAGTCCCACTTTAGGCATGAAAGCCGGTTGGCTCACTTTGGGCCAGTCACTCTCTTATCAGCCCAATCCACCTCACAGGATTGTTGTGGAGAAAATAGAAGGAGGAGCTAGTATGTTAACTGCTTTGAGTTACTTGTAAAAATAATAAAGGTGGGATACAAATAAATTTTGAGCAACTTGTCCTTATTTTATTCTTATATTAGACAAAGCAAGCTTAATTTACAAGTCTCATCCAGAACATTTTTGACAGATATCCTTCCAAATGGTGATTCTGTTTTAGTAATACTGAACATAATCTCTTAACTAGTTAGCAAACAGTTCTTTATTGAAATTATTCCCTTATGATCTAGGAAAGAAAATTAATTGTTCCTCCTGCAGGATAGTGAAAGAACAACCAGGCTAAGGATACTTTCCATTCCTGATAGAAAAGGAATTTGGCAATATATCCAAAGTTCCATTTGTTGTTTCAGTGGTTTGTCTCATAGAGGAGTAATTGCTACTATCTGATATGCTATATTTGTATCATATCCAAATGTTTTTTGAGAAGTAATAGGCTAAGATTCTTATATCATATGGTTGTTTAAATTAAATGAATAGAAATGACTTAATGGCCTGTCTAGAATTAAATCTCAGCTGATTTCTCTCTTCATGGTCTATAATAACCCCCCCCATCTGAATTAATACCATCTATGAAATGCTTCCAACATTAGCTAGTAACAAATACCTTCAAGTAGTCTGAATTTTTTTCCTCTGAATGTTTGTAATCTCTCCCTCTTGTTTTCAGCAAGTAAATTTGAGCGAATCTTTATTCACATGACTTTTACAGCTCATTCGATGAAACCAAGTATGAAAAACTTGCTGAAGAAACACTGGAATCGTTAACAGATTTCTTTGAGGATTTGGCAGACAAGCCCTTTATTTCCAAAGATTACGATGTCTCCTATGTGGTATAATGCTATTGTTGCTTTTTATGATTTTTTTTTAAATTTTAACTTGTTTATAGATAGAACATTTAAAAACACTTTATATGTTATTAATTATGGCTGAAAATATTGGAGATTCTCCTATAGTTCCAGAATTCTAAAGTTACTATCAGAGGCAGTGTTCCTCAAGAGCAGTAAAATCACTGTTCAGCCTTCTTCATGGATCCCTCGGGTATATCACAGACCAGTGTATTTCTAAAAGCCATGCTTACTTGGAATCAAGCAAATTGAAGCCCAATGCCTGAGTTGAATTGAAAAGGCCTGCATAAGTGAACAAATGCACATCCTTCAAAGTTGCTGTATCATTTGGAAACCATAGGCACAATCATATGTAGGTAGACTCTGTCATTCCTTAATTTTGTTTCCTTAAGATGCCTTTAGCATTGAAGTTGAATTCAAACTGTTGCTTCATATAGTTCTTCCTACATGATCTTCATGATTCTATATATCAAAGAATTTGCCTGTGGAAATATTTGCCCTTGCCACAGTTCAGAATTTGCATTTTCTCCCACTTCAGCTATGGTTCTGGATTAATGTTTTTGAGAAAGTGTGATCAATAAGAGATATAACACTAATGTATGTACATGGGTGTGTGCACATTTCTTCTCTCTTTCCCTGTCATATTGCCTAGTTACTACCAGATTAAAGTCTCAAACACATTATTGGGGGTGCGGAGGCAGGGTTCAGACAATATTGTTTTCCTTCTGCAACAGTTGCTTATCCCCCCCACCCTTACATTTTTTTCTAACTGGAGAAAAGCTGTTAGCAGTGAAAGCAAAAAAATAATTGCACTGTGGACTTTAAAAATAGGAGGCTGTCATCTGGAGGCACTTATTTTTCTCTTGTAGTCTGATCATGATTTTTTAGTGAATGGACTGTGTTGTGTTGTGAAACCAGAAGGTGGCATAGATGGGGAAAAATGTAACAAGTGAGATGCCATTTTACGGTTTGCAATTGGGCAGATGTCAGTGCATTTACAGTATGTGTGATTTAGAACCAGTTTATATTTTTCTAAAATTCCCAGAAGTTAATTGATAAGAGAACATCATAACAAAAGCAAAGAGGGAATTAAATGAAGCAAATAGTTTAATTTGGTTGAAATGTACTCGTTTAACTATAATAAAAGTAGCCTCTACTTAATATTTGAACAATCTCTTGCACAATAATGTTAATTGAAAGGTCTTTTTTTTTTACTTTTTATTTTAAAGAATGGAGTACTAACAGTGAAACTGGGTAGAAACATGGGAACTTACGTAATCAATAAACAGACACCAAATAAACAGATATGGCTCTCTTCTCCAATCAGGTGAGTTTAGTTTATAGGTTATAATGATTTGAAAATTTTGTAGTTGAACTAAAACACCATAATGCACAATTCATTTATTAGGTATCATTCTGAAATTTCTAAATAAATAGTATGGCATTTCTAAGATTGTCCAGATTCTAGAATTCGATGCCATCTTCTAACCAAATTTCCCTGTTTAGCACATCACTTAATAAGCGCTTGGCCGTTGACCCAGAGGGAGGCGCTGGGGAGGGCGGGGGTGGTGGTAGGTGGAAGGCCCGGACTTACAAGGCGGGAACCAGACAACTTGCTACGGGCAACTGGCAGTGGGACACATTTAACGCTTCTATTTCATGGTTTAACTGAAATAAAACTTGTTTTCCCTTTTGTCCTTCCTTTCCCTTTCCTTCTGTCCCTCCTTTTCCCTCCTTCCTTTCATTCCACCATTTCTTTGATGTTCTCCCTCTTGTCCCGCCTGCGCGGCAGTTGGAAACTGCTGCACGGCGTTTGTTTGTGACATGCGCGGCCGCGCAGCTTAGAGGGAACATTGGTCCAGAGGCCAAACAAATGCATCTTGTTTCAGGTAGCAGGTGGTTCCAGCATGCACTGCCAGCTGAAAAAGCTTTCCTTCCCAGTTCCCCGGTCCACACTGCCGAGCCACACACCCTCCTCCTCCTCCTCTGCAGACTTGCTGCCTGATTTCTTCTGGCCAGCACTGTCGGCTGGGGGAGGCAGGGAGAAAAGCGAGAGGGCAACGCAATTGGGTGCAAGAGCCAGGCGCGGACACAGGGCAGGCAGATTAGAGACAGTCGGCCAATTGCCAGCTTGCTGGCTCGGCTGCTGGCTACCCGGAGTGCGCAGGCAGCAAAGGAAACCTGCGTCATGGCTCTATTAAAATGCGCATTTCGCAGTGGGGCACAATTTGGGGGTGGCAGGTGGGCAGCCCTTAAATGTCGCTGCCACCCCCTCTCCCGGATTTGCACCCCCTCTCCCGGATAACAGCCGACAGGAAAGGAGAGGAAGCACGCCCGGCAAAGTTTTACCACCTCCGCCCCAACGAACAAGGGGAGGGGAGACTCCAGCAGCACTGTAGGCACTTCTTCGCCACTGGCAAGGATCCCCTGCCGCACCTGCCACCCTCAAATTGTGCCCCATCACGAAATGCGCATCTTAATAGAGTCTGGCAGCTCTGTTGCATCACTCGGCTGGTCTTTGCAGGTAAAACCTTGCACAGTAAAGAAAAACTTCATGAGAAGTTTTTCTTTACTGTGCAAGATGTTTCCCTGCACAGAGCAGCTGAGAGAGAGAAGTGGTGGAGCTGACAGACTCGAATAAGATGCGTACACCACACCCCTTCCCCTGCCCTACCTGCCACCCCCAAATTGTGCCCGAACATCTTTCTTGAGTCTGGCAGCTCCACCTCTTCTCTCTCTTGGCTGTCCTGTGCAGGGAAGCATCTCGCTGCTGCTGCTCAACCTCCTCGAGGCACGTAGGCAGGAGGCAGAGGCGGCCACAACATGAGTTTCCTATGCTGCCTGCGCGTTCTGGGTGACCAACAGTCGAACCAGCAAGTCGGCAATTGGCCAGCTGCCTCTAATCTGCCTGCCCTGTGTCCATGCCTGGCTCCTGTACCCTCACCCAACTGCACTGCCCTCTTGCTTTTTTGCTGCCATTCAAAAATGCTTTCGTTGAAAATGCTTTGAATGCAATTCCCCGGGCTGTTTAGGGAATCAGGCTCCATGTGAAAGCGAGGATCCCCGCTGCATGGAACCCCCCGAAAATGCGACATCCGGAGTGGGTGGGTGGAGCTACATTTGGAGTATAAGATGCACCCAGATTTTCACCTCCTTTTGAGGGGTAAAAAGGTGCATCTTATACTCCAAAAAATATGGTAATGTGAAGCAATGCTTTTAATTATGCATGCTCCATTATATTTTGTAAATGTTTGTTTTAGCTCTCTTATGTCTTCATTTTTCACAGTGGGCCAAAGCGTTATGACTGGACCGGGAAAAATTGGATTTATTCTCATGATGGCATTTCTCTTCATGATCTATTGTCAAGGGAACTTTCAGTTGCATTAGCAATTGAACTGGATTTATCAACTTTAACACATGCTAGTGGAGAGCCTAATTCTTGATATTTATCTATAAAAATCCAAAGACTTTGGACTTCGACCTATTTCTTTCTTTCTCATGGTATACTAGTTTTAATACGTTTGTCCAAATTTAAATTCTCAAAACATTGTTCAAATCTATTTTATTAAGCACTAATGGAAATATATATATCTATATATATAAGCTACATGTTTTTGTTCTTTTTGTTGTGTTGCAAGTATAACAGTGGTGAAATATTTATGCAAGATTGTATCCAATTTTAGAAATGTGATATTTGCATAAGAGTTGCCAGCCGAACTGGATACTTTTGATATAGACAGATAGACACACACAGACACACCACACCACTATCAATAACTTTTATAATAATGGCAATATTCAGAGGAATTAACATAATCAAGTGGTATGTCCAATATATCATATTATGCCTTCCCCCGCCCCGAATGTGACTGCAATACTCAAGTAGCCTTTGTGTGAAGTACTCCAATAATTCTTATAAAAGTGAATCTAATTAGTGGAATATTTATTTTTTTAATCAGAAATAGACTAATTGAAATACTAAGGCTACCTATTTCATGTATATAATTAGAAAACCTGAATTTATGTTTATCCTTGAAATAAGGAGTGGAAATTATTAAACTAATAGTGAATTGCATAGAAAAAGTGGGATTAAGTGCAACATCCTCCTTAATTAAATGCAACATTAGATTTTAAGATGGGTGAAGAAACTAGATCTATGCAAAGCAGTTGAAAAATTGTTTTCAAAGCATTTTGGAAGATTGTCATGGCTGCTTCAAAAGCTATTCTCAATCCATTGCCCTAAATTACAGATTTAGAGAATCTGTAACTGTATGAGATCTTACTCTCTAGCTCAGACATAGGGAACTTCAGTCCCAAACTTGGATTGACCTCCAATACTTTTCTGAGGACCAAATAACACCAAAAGGCACCGACCGGGTTTCCTGAAACCTTGTTTATATGTTCCTCTCACAGAGACACATTGTGAACACATGGCTTTCCATACAGGTGTAAACAAAGGAGAATCCAGGTGTTCTTGGTTTGGAAAGCATACACGGATCTTGGACAATAAGCAAGCTTTTGGGGACCTTCTCCAACTATGGAGGGAAGCTTGCAAGACAAATGCTGTTCACAGACTGGAGGCTGCTGTAGTTATATACAACCCAAGAATGAATGCAAATTTGAAACCGAGCTCCGACAAAACTGAAATGATGAGGATTAGCTCTTGATACTTACATAGGGGCTGATATGGCTGAATTTCACAATATCTGGTGTTCTCTAATTAGTCTCTTAGCCTTGGTTTGTTTTCTGTCTCATTATGAGAATTGCTTCCAAGCTTTGGAAGTGGCAAAGAAGATTCATGTTTTGTGGACTTTTTCTTTTAACTGGGACCTAGTTTCTGTAGCTCCAGTGTCCTTTAATCACAATGCTCTGTAACAATGAGATAAAAGTGGTAGTAAACTATATAAAAAGTCATTTTTCCAATAGTAGCAGCATTCAAATGATTTCCATGTTAATACAGGTTTTGTGTTGTGGAGAAAAGAGAAGCCAAGAGGAATTTGGGTCACACCCTCTTTTAGAATTTAATTATTTTAATAAAAGTAAATACTTCAAAACTATTTCAATTAGATGCCTTTTTTAAATCAATATTTGAAAGTTTTCTTTCAATTTCTTCTTAAATTTACTTTTTAAACATTTGCTTAGTAGATTTGAATCATGTTCGTGCTTGCCTTATATTTACAATACTCTGAACAAGGCAAAGTTCAACAGTAAAAGGTAAGTTCTTCCTCCTGCCATCATTCCTTGTAAAGAATACATAGTTGAACAATGAAATAGGATCTCTTATTTACTTGTTACAAACGTGCTAAAACTCATCTACTTCTGGAATTCTGCATTTTTTTCAAATGTTAAACATGTTAAATATTCCTTCTGACATTGAGCACTTCTGCATTTTTATTAACAATATTGTCAGATCTGAACGTGAATAACATGAGGGAAGCTTCTGGGAATTGGAAGGAGCCTCAAGATTTGCAGAAAATAAAATATGGATGGGAAAAAACTCAAAAGCTCCATTAACAGTATCATTCTCAGGGGCCATAAATACTGATTGACTTTAAAAAATCTATAGTTCTGTACCTCTGACTGAGATGAATGTTTGGGTACATAATGGTATATCTTCTTGACAATATCAGTGAAATGTTCACAATTATTCTTGAATCTGGGTTCCAAAAACCACAAATGAGTCATTCAGATAAAAATGAAATTGATATTAAAAAGAATATAAATGGATTTTGATCATTGGTATTTGACATCAATCTTTTTGATCTGTAATTTCAATAAATTGTGCTACTCAATAACTGTACTCTTAGTACAGTTTCTTGTATCAAATGGGAGCATTGAGCTAGCACAATGACAGGAAGTCTATCCCAAGGAAACTAACTTAAAGGAAGAAGGAAATAAAATCTTAGGGCACTATGATTAATTGATATGACTGATATTATAGAATAGTTCTCTTAACAGTATTGCAGTGTTCTTTTGTTCCCCAATGCATCCAGATATTCTAGGTGAGCACATGGAGATAAAGTTTGCATAAAATCCATAAAGAAACACACATAAAGGTTTCTATTTGTGACCTTTGTGGACCTGGACATTTAAAATCTCTCAGATGTGCAGGATCATTTGCAGTATTAATGGAACTGGGGCACATTCAAAAAGGAGGGATGGAGGTCTGAACATTATTGTAGTTCTACAAAGCAATTAGAAATCTTCACTAAACAGGTTGAATCCTAAGAAATATAGGAGAGTCCAATATTGCACAACTGATTGCTTAGTCAAGCTCATTATTAGTTGCTTGCCTTTTGACAGATTTAAGAAGAGGGGGAAGCAGTAGGGAATACTATTGAATCTTGTATCACCTAAACATCAAATTGTCACAACTGAATTTTCATGAATGTGACTGCATCAAGTAGATCAAAGTTAAATGGATTGAACATTTGCTGATAATTTTGTGAGGAATAATTTGGGACTAATAAAAATCAATGTCACCTTTGGCAGATTTTAGTATTAGATACATAAAGTGTACACAATGATGGGGTTCATACCATGTACTTTCACTGGACATTTGTCATAGTGTATTATGTAAACTCATTTGAATTATACATAGTCCACAAGTGGAACTGGAAATGGTTGTAAGCTACTGCAGTCTTAAGTAGAGGCACCAATATGGCAGGGCCTTTTTTGACATTTTTTGTGGCAGTCATTAAACAAATCACAAAGGTTGATTAGCAAGACTGCAAGTGAACCCATTTTTCTGAATGTAATTTGCTGGAAACCAGCAAAAGTCACAAATCATGGCCATGTGACTGGGATGTTGCAACAAGTTAGAAACGTGAACCAGTTGCCACGAGTTGCCTTTGAGGAAAATGGGTCATTTCTAAAGTTGATAAAAAATAGAGTCCAAAGTCGGAAGGGGGGAAGGGAGGTGGGGTCATAGGGGGGAGGGGGGAAATATAGTTTGTGCCAGTTTTTAAAACAACATGAATGCACTTGTATACTGTTGCCTTTTTTTTTAATTTTAGTATAAAATAAGAAGCTGAATATATCGAATAGTAGAAATACACCGAAGTGAGGAGCAGAGGGAAAGAAGAGGGAGGGGCAGAGAGGGTGCGAGAGAGGAATGGAAGGAGGGTGAGAT